GTTGCCAGGCTTTTTCAGACCACTTGTTGATATTTATCTTCACCTTGACCATGATTTTATATCCAGTTATTCACGATCATTTTTATTGTAGAACAGAAACAACCTTGCATCTCTAGCCGTTCTTTATGCGATCATCAGAATTGTTTTATGTATTCTGAAGGTGACAATTTCTTGAAGAATTTTCTTGGAGGAGGTCGGAATTGTTTCCAGAAACTAAATTTTCACCAAATTTTCACTAAACTTCTAGTTGTTTTATACTGGAAATTATGAAAATATATTGCCCACAACCCATTTTGCAATCTTGTTCATTTGAAATAAGAAATTCTTTTTTAGTTGTTTCAGGGATTTCAAATCATTTTATATGGTAGACAATGGAAGTCCGAACTAGTGAAATTCATCATGAAACATTGTCAATCACCCTCAAACAAATTGTCAAAAATATGTTTGTCTCATTATTTTTCCTAACATACATTCAACTGTATCATGGATATAATTTTCTATATATTTATTCAACAACTTTTGTCAAAAATAAATTATACTTTGATGCTAATCATGAAATTATGAAACAACAAAAATAATCAGGTACCAGTCGAGATGATGGTAAACGACCAGATGGTATGTCTATCATACCATGGAAATATGGGACTTCTCTTGCGTTGACACGGTCGCGGCTTCCCATCCAGCCGAAAGTTCAAAGTCTGCTGAAACTGCAGCATTGTCTGGCGGAAAATCAAAACGAAAAGAACACCAAAATCTTGTTGACATCTATCTGATCCATCCAGCAGAAGTTAAAACTTTTGGTGTATATGGTGTATATGATGTATATGAGTCTCTGTTAATCTTTCATGAACTCGGAAGGAGAATAGGCCAAACAACAAAAGATTACCGTTCTATTTTTTTTTGATTGAAAGAATTAGTATTGCTATTCGAAGTGGTACTATTCCTCCTTCACATAATTTTGATGATATCATGCATTGTCCTTATTTCAGTACGGAACTAAAATTTTGTCGAAACAAGCTGAGATATGTATACAGGGTCCTGCAACAGTGGCGCGGTGTTCCATATCTCTATATAGGAAGCAGATAGGAATCTAATTTTCTATAATATTACCTTATTGCTCGAGCTCGACAAAATAAAAATATTGGCGGTCACACAGGGTGTTCGATTTTTTCTGGGCGGATCCCAACTGTGTCTTTTTAAATGGCAACCTATATTTTTTATCGCTTTTTCGGTTTCTTCATAGAAAATAAAATAAACTTTATGTATATCTGCACTTCGAAAATATTGACGGTTTTCGAGATATCTAGCATGACAGGTTTTTTTTTC